TGCGAGGACTTCCTCTCTGTCCGGTCGCTTACATTTTTTCCGAACGACACACTTGTAATGCTCCCGTTGTAGTTCACCCTACATACGTGTCCAAATAGTGCCAGTTTCATTCTCATAACTGCCTGCATCGTCAGGTGATCACTGTGGAACCTTGCAAGTGGCAAAATTGCCGTCAATTCATTTCAGATGTTTCTGTATAAATATGTCTTTCTCCCTGCCTAATTGTGCACAATGCAAGATTGATAATTGCACGAAGAAAAGTAGTAAATTATATATAACAAAAATGGCTCTCTTCACTTATTCAGCATTAGAGCGAGCGGCATTGTTACCCCAAGACCTATTTCGTCAATGGTCCAAGTCATCCCGAGCGGAGATTAGCGTACCCCCCCCCCGCCCCTAGTCAACAACGCCGTCGTCACTTTAAGATGTTTTCTGTTCATATTTTGTTTGTTGCGGTTGCACCCGACTCAAGAGCTGCATGGCTCACAGGGCTATATCTAATAAATTAAACTTGAAAGCTTGAAAGACGTGTACTCCGATAACGGCTCTGCATTATCTTGCACGTACATCGGACTGTGCGGTGGTAAATCAGTAAAATATCAAAACAATAAAAAATGAATTAAATTTGAATAAGTACTGCGTGCCCGGCAAGCCGGAAGTTTCGTTTATTTGTTGTTGTTGTATGTTGCAAGATCGACTCCGGCTGCGTGGGAATTATGCCTGGGTGTGTGCTCACGATTATAAGCGTCGATATGTTAGCCCCTTCAAGGCACGTGACACACAATGTAAATGTCTCCTCTTCAATTAAAGAAAGTAAATTAATTTCAGATGACAAAAATCCTCCTTCGCAGACTACGAATCGATCAAATCTTTATACGACGAAAAAAATCCCTACGCGTCCTGTCAACAACACTGTCGAATAAGGAAACGCACACGCGTGACACGTGACATTTTGAATAACGGGGCATTATTTTTCCGCTATGTGGCCGATTAAAATTTAGAGTCATTTTTTTTCACGGATATTCTGCGCGTACTTTTTTTTCCCTCCTTTCAAAGGCATCGTCACTGACAAAAGTGTTGACATTGCGGTGGGGGTGCTTTGTCCACCGTCCTTCAACCGTAGGATGAATAAATACGCACCTTTATTTACACGGCGCACTTCGTGTGAGCAAAGGCACGTCCGAGTGCTTTACATAACATTTACATGAACGGCCCAGCACATAGAATAAATAAAAAAATACATGGCATTTAATTTGGAATATCAACAAAGCAAATGTGGCATTACACACACCTGTGCGTGCCCTTAAATAGTTGAAGGTCACCCAGTTGATCAGACAAAGAGATTAGCTCGTATATATATACCGCATGCTTGATACAACTGAAAAGCGTCAACATGCGCCGGGAAAATAAATAATGTGTTTGAGAAGGCATAGTCAAAACACAGCTGCGTAAGAGAGAAATGTTGTCAGGTACCGTAGCGCCGTGTGATCTCGTGCACAATGTCATTTCTGGCTGTCACCTGATGAAGCCAGTTGTAATTACTGGAGAAACGATGTACTCAGATTGTAAATGTGGTGGCTTGGCTCTCCAACACACCGGTAAGTGCTGTACTAGTGACGAATTGGCACGTTCTATGTACGTGACAAACCTTACTAATTGGCTGTGTCGGGTGGTGGCGGGTTTAACGACACATTTATATTTTTATGCGATCTAAAAACCTGTATTATGGAAAATGTAGTTTGCATGGGGCAATGCGTGACGATATCCCACCATGCCCATAAGGAGACACGTATTTAACTATGCATCGATCCATCAACTGCAATTGATTGTCGCATTAGTCTATGCATCGATAATTATTGAATAAGAAAAAGAAGCAGAAGAAGAACGTACAACAACACGAATAAAACGGTGGCATATAACTCAAAAGAGAATAACAGTAGATTTTGGAATTCCATCATTACCCTACATTGTGACCAATTGAACGATTTGCTCGGAGGTGGTTGCTGGTGCACAGCTACTTGGCTATCGATATATAAATTGGATATAATAACTCTACCCTATTTATTTTTATTTTACCGGGTAAGGACCCACTGAGCTATATCACTCTTTTTCAGAGGTGACCTGGCCACAAATGATAGCTCAACGAAGTGGCTTATCACGTGGACAATTTATAGCAACCAAATACACTTAGCGCACGTTTCTACATGTCAAGAGAAGAGCCACGCGACCACGGGGAGAAAATGCAGACTCCATATATACAGACGTAAGGGGTCGGGATCGAATCCACAACCTCCTGTATACCAGGCGAGGTAGTTAATATCTCCTAGCCACCGTGATGACGATGAGAGAGAGAGAGACACGCAAACTCCAAATATACAACAGACGTCAGGGTCTGGATCGAACCCACAACCTCCTGTATACCAGGCGAGATAGTTAACATCTCCTAGCCACCGTGATGACGATGAGAGAGAGAGACTCGCAAACTACAAATATACAGCAGGCGTCAGGGTCTGGATCGAATCCACAACCTCCTGTATACCAGGCGAGGCAGTTACCATCTCGATCAGGTTGCGATGGTTAGGTATCTCGCGGTGAATGCTGGCCGCTAACCACACACTTGCTGCTGATGCACACAACTATGAACACAAAGTGATTTAACTGCCGTTGCAACCTCCTTTGCTATTGGTCACCTTCCCGTGACCTTGCCGCAGTAGTTAGGATATAATGAGCGCCTGTGTATGTGTGTGTGGGGTTGTGGGGAGTGGTAGCACGGTATCACAGCGGTTAGCGCGCTGCACTACAAACCCGGAGACCCAAGTTCAATTCCCGCTCACGGCCAACATCAGTACGGTCCTGGGCCTCCCCTAGGTCGGCTCAGCCTAAAATGAGCGCCTGGTGAAATGTATATGTAAACATGGGCAGAAGGGAGACAAAGGCGGCCGGGCCTGGTGCTGGCCACCCACCCCCTTGTGTGTCGTTCCGGCCTCCATAGGTGCTCGCTAACAGCACTTGCCTTGATAACCTGTATGCCTGTCTGCGTGCGGTATTTACTGCAAATTGAGCATGCTGTTAGTGGGGCAATATTTATACGTGGTATTTGCCAACGAACTAACGCATTTGCGGGTGAAGTAATTGACACAAAGTTTGGAACATTTGTTTAAACGAAGCGATAATCGGTGTAGGAATCGGCTACTCGTTAAATGCGCGCTTGGGTTCATTAATTGCGTGAGTGCACCACTGGCAACTCGTTTACGGAATCTTAATTCGTGCCGGACGAGGAATCCGATGAGTTATGAAGTCGAGATCGAACCCACGACCTCCTGCATACGGTAGGGGTGCGGGATCAGCAAAGTTACAATATAGAAAAAAAAGGATATCTAAGCAAGTGGCTAATAAATAGCGTACATAAGGATACAAATTGCGCGTGTGCGTAAATTCCTGTCGATTTGTCAACACCAAATGCAACCCTTGGGGTAAGGCAGCAACAAAAAACAACAACAACAGTCCAAGTTGAGCCCACATTTCCCCCTGTCGCGCCGAGATCGGGATGTCATTCACAAAGTTTCTGTTCAACCCCCCTCCCCGGTTGCGATCGGCGCTTCGTACCGGGCTCGCGTTGAGTTGCGATAAAAACATTAACAAGTCCCAGTCCGCACCGAGACAACAACGCGCAGTCCCGCAACTGCATTTCAGCACGAGCAGCAGCCAGAATCAGCAGCAGCCAGAAACAGCAGCAGCAGCCAGCAGCAGCCAGAAGCAGCAGCAGCAGCCAGAAGCATCAGCAGCAGCAGCCAGAAGCAGCAGCAGCAGCCAGAAGCAGCAGCAGCCAGAAGCAGCAGCAGCCAGAAGCAGCAGCAGCAGCCAGAAGCAGCAGCAGCAGCAGCCAGAAGCAGCAGCAGCAGCAGCAGCCAGAAGCAGCAGCAGCCAGAAGCAGCAGCAGCAGCAGCCAGAAGCAGCAGCAGCAGCCAGAAGCAGCAGTAGCAGCCAGAAGCAGCAGCAGCCAGAAGCAGCAGCAGCAGCCAGAAGCAGCAGCAGCAGCCAGAAGCAGCAGCAGCAGCCAGAAGCAGCAGCAGCAGCCAGCAGCAGCAGTCAGAAGCAGCAGCAGCAGCCAGAAGCATCAGCAGCAGGCAGAAGCATCAGCAGCCAGAAGCAGCAGCAGCCAGAAGCAGCAGCAGCCAGAAGCAGCAGCACTCAGAAGGAGCAGCAGCAGCAGCCAGAAGCAGCAGCAGCAGCAGCCAGAAGCAGCAGCAGCAGCAGCCAGAAGCAGCAGCAGCAGCCAGAAGCAGCAGCCAGAAGCAGCAGCAGCCAGAAGCAGCAGCAGCCAGAAGCAGCAGTAGTAGCAGCCAGAAGCAGCAGCAGTAGCAGCCAGAAGCAGCAGCAGTAGCAGCCAGAAGCAGCAGCAGTAGCAGCCAGAAGCAGCAGCAGTAGCAGCCAGAAGCAGCAGCAGTAGCAGCCAGAAGCAGCAGCAGCAGCAGCAGCCAGAAGCAGCAGCAGCAACAGCCAGAAGCAGCAGCAGCCAGAAGCAGCAGCAGCCAGAAGCAGCAGCAGCCAGAAGCAGCAGCAGCAGCCAGAAGCAGCAGCAGCCAGAAGCAGCAGCAGCAGCAGCAGCCAGAAGCAGCAGCAGCAGCCAGAAGCAGCAACAGAAGCCAGAAGCAGCAGCAGCAACAGCCAGAAGCAGCAGCAGCCAGAAGCATCAGCAGCAGCAGCAGCCAGAAGCAGCAGCAGCAACAGCCAGAAGCAGCAGCAGCAGCCAGAAGCAGCAGCAGCAGCCAGAAACAGCAGCAGCCAGAAGCAGCAGCAGCAGCCAGAAGCAGCAACAGAAGCCAGAAGCAGCAGCAGCAACAGCCAGAAGCAGCAGCAGCAGCCAGAAGCAGCAGCAGCAGCCAGAAGCAGCAGCAGCAACAGCCAGAAGCAGCAGCAGCCAGAAGCAGCAGCAGCAGCACCAATGATCGCCGGACGTCGACCCCGTTGGGGTCAACCGCGACCGCTCGCTTACTCACTGGAGCAGGAGTCGGGCGAGTCGAGGAAGGCGGGCGTCGCGCGGAAATACTGCGGGTTCTCGATCACGGGGATGCGCTTGAGTCCAATGAGGACCGTGTCAGGGCCGCCGTCCATGGAGGAGCCGCTGCCACCCGACGCGCCGTGGTGATGGTGGTGGTGCAGGGGACTCGCCGAGTCCTCGCTGCCGATCACCGCTGGCACGGGGCCTGATGAGACGACGCGGAAGGGGAGGAGAGGAGAGCGGTGGGCGCGCGACGGGGGCCGGCGTCGGTTAAAGCGTCGCGGTGGCTAGGAGATTCATACTCTTAATTCTTTCGGTAAAGTCAAGTGGGTAAAAAATGAAATTAAAATGAATACAAAATTAAAACAATAAAATCACGACGTTTCGGAGGCAACACAAGCTTCCGTCTTCAGGTGAAACTGATACAGATTTTTTTTGCTGTGACAGTTTCACCTGAAGACGGAAGCTTGTGTTGCCTCCGAAACGTCGTGATTTTATTTTTTTTTTATTAATTTTAATTTCATTTTTTACCTACGTGACTTTACCGAAAGAACTAAGAGTATGAATCCTTGCAGTTACGAAAGCTTCAAATCTAGAATGGCTAGGAGATGTTGACTACCTCGCCTGGAGTTCGCGTGTTCTCCACGTGGTCGCGTGGATTTTTCTCGGGGTCCTCCAGCTTTTCCCCTCCACATTTAGAATCGACGTGCGTTTAGAGTATTTGACTGCTATACATTGCCACCAGATAAGCAACTCCGTTGAGCTTTGATTGGTGGCCAGGACGCTTGTGAAACAGAGCTACTGTATATAACTCAGCGGGGTTTACCTGGTAAAATAAAAACGAGTTTAATTTACAGTTTAGTTATCTCCTTCGCCTGGTATGCAGGAGGTCGTGGGTTCGATCCCGACCCTGACGCCTGCTGTATATTTGGAGTTTGCGTGTTTTCTCCCCGTGGTAGCGTGGCTTTTTCTCCAGGTTCTCTGGTTTTTCCCTCCACATTTAGAAACACGCACTCCTGAAATAGAGCGATATGGCTCAGTGGGCCTTACCTGGTAAAATAAAAAGAATTTCAAGCGCTCAGGAATATCTCTCACACATAATGAGGCAACTTCGCAGTTGTTCAGAGTTTAAAATCCTTTCTCGCAGTGGCGTCACCTGTTTCGTGTCTCCACGTTACCTTCAAGCACCTCAGATTAGTACGGTTGACTACGTACGCTGCTAAATAAGTTAACATAAATACGTGCAATGCCATCATCTAGGCAACATGGACGAGGTTAAGTTGAATCATAATAATAATACCTATGGTGCTGAGTCGTGGTTTAGTGGTTGCCGCACGCTGCGTTCTAAACCCAGCGACCTGAGTTCAATTCCCGGCCACGGTTAACATCAATGGCGAGCAATATCTAACCGATCCTGGGATCCCCCTTCAACAAGGCACACTGTGCCCAGTATGGTGAAGTATGGTTAAACATCTCCCCCCCCCCGCCCTCACTAATATCGGCACAGCGCACGAGGGAGTGCTGTGGCCACCGCCACGCACAGTACTGATGCTTACACATCGCAGCAGGTAACTTATTTAATGCTGAGTCTACCTAGGAGAGGCCCAGGACTTCATATAATCGCCACCGATGTCAGTCGTTGGCCGGCAATGAAACTCGTCGCTGGGTTCATTGCTAACCACACATTGCTAACCACACACCACCTCGGAGGCGTGAAAATCACGGGACGGATCATGAGCAGAGAATATCTCAGAATAGCGGATGAGGATCGGGAGCACAGCGTGTTGGTCCATTGTTGCGAGCGGTGCATTGGTACGCCACTGACAACACGCAGGGAAGACTCACACATTTTCCAGAGCAGCTGCTTAAAAAAAAGTATGATCCTGGGAAAACCAGGACATGTAGCAACACTACCCACTATGCCTCTGCTCCAGACATAGATCCCCCTAGAGCCTAACAGACTGTTGGAGCAAGTGTTCGTGAGCGAGCAGTTATGAAGGTCGGCACGGCACACGGTTGAGTGGGTGACCGAGACCACGCCCGGTCGCCTTTGTCTCCCCAGTGCCGATGTTTTATACATCGCATCAGATACTCATTTGATGCTGAGTCGACCTAGGGGTGAGGCCTAGGAGCGGTTCAAATAATCGTCACTGGTGTTGGCCATGAAAGGAAATCGAACTCAGCTCGCTGAGTTGGAAGTGCGGCTACCCGCTGCACCACCGCTCCCCCACGGACAGCCAACAACGGCAACAAACAGACAGCCACGCATACACACACACACGCACGAACGTGCGCGCACACACACACGCACTGAAGCCCCATCATCCGTGCGAGGCAGAACTCGGAGCACCGATGGGACCCCGGTGCTCGCCAGTTGCTTTCCGCAGATTACCGCTGGGACGGCGAGATGTGTAGGAAGCGGAGCGGTGGCACAAAATGGGGTGTAAAATACGCAGCTTGCCGACATTACACGCACAAATGAACGAGCGCACAGAGCGGCAAGAGCCTTCGCTGTTCGTGCGGCAAACGCTGCAGTGGCAGGCTGACAAACCGCACGAGAGACGCTTTTTTTTGTCTCGATCGCACGTCTCGAGAAATCTCGCGGTGGTTTATTTTTTTTATTTTAGCGGGTAAAACCCCGCTGAGCTGCATGGCTATCTTTCAGAAGCGAGATGGTCACACATTTACAGCGGCCAAACACTCTGAACGCAACGTCGCTTCTAAATGTGGAAGGGATGATAATACCGGAGGGCGTGGAGAAAAATCCACGCGACCACGTGGAGAACATGCGAACTGAAAATATAAAGGTGTCAGGGTCGGGATCGAACCCACGACGACCTCCTGTATACCGGGCGAGGTAGTTAACATCTCGCCATTCTGGCGCCCAAAAGTCAGGACGAATAGGGTAATTGATTTACTTTAACAAATAACGTAGGGTTATTTTATTTATTTTACCAAATGTTAAAATCGAATTCCATTAACATTAATGCATACGTGAATTCTCTTTTGAAATTAATTAAGTTTTTTTTTAAGATTACAGCTGTGTAATCTTTAAAAAAAAATCATTCATTGATTATGTTTTGTCATTCAGGGTTCTTGGTCGAGTTTTCGAGGTGACCCCCTAAAGGAAGAAGAAACATAGATATTAAGAATGATAATATATCGTATTTTAACTTAACGAATAAACAATAAAAATGTTGTAATGCATGCATGAAACGAAATGAACTAACTCTCTTTGTCCTGACTTTTGGGACCACCCTACACATTAAGTTGTCGAGCTCCCTCTCAATGCACTGCTGGATGAAGGTGTCCCATCGTGTCGGTTATGGGGGTTGTTTGACCATACTTCACCACGTGGGTCAAATGCAGGTTGGTAGAGGAGGGCCAAAGCATCCCAAATTTAAACCGCAGAGTGCTGACCACTATGCCGCCGCTCCTCCTCAGAGAGATATTTTTCGTGTGGATATTGGAATACTCACACAACAAAACGCACTCTCGTTAAAGTGTGAAGTCACGTGGCGGTTTTTTTTTATCTCGTGATATTTTTTATTTTGCCGGTGGGTCCTTTTTTGCTGATATCAACATTTTCCAAAGGCTATTTCGACAGAGGTAATCTATTCGTGACCAAACACAAATAAATATGGCGAGGGTTCCAAGAAAGGGTATGTGAGCGGGTGGGGCGGTGTTGCAGTGGTCAGCGCGCTGCCATTTAAATCTGGTTACCTGGGTTCCATTCCCAGCCACGGCTAACATGAGCGTTGAGTGATATCTGAAACCCTCCCTCCCCTCACCAACGTGCACTGACCATCAGGGTGATGTATGGTAAAACAACCGAGATGACCGACACACATTCAGTAGTGGATTGACAAAGGGCTGTTAAATTTCGATTTAAAGCTTTCGTGACTGCAGGGATTCATCTTCTTGGTTCTTTCGGTAAAGTCACGTAAAATAATAATTTTATTATGTTTTATTTTTATTATTTTATTATTTCCATTCTACGTGACTTTACCGAAAGAACCAAGAAGATGAAAAGGGCTGTTAACTAATGCAGCATATATTTCCTTAGATGCACATGCAGAGACAAACGTACAAACATTAATGGATGTATAACTCAGATACATCTGCGTACGTTGAAGGTTAGACAAATAAAGTTTTTTCAAGGTACAATAGCACGTGAAAACATGGCCATTTTTCCCCGTCCGTATGCACGAATCATATTAAACGAATCACGCTGTTAGTGGTCGCTACTGAAAAACACGTCCATACAGTCCTCGAGGAAAGCGCAGGTGCCATGGTTCTTCAGAGTAAACCCTTTTAATAATTCTTTCGCGTTAGCTTGGAACGCCTACCAGCATTCGGAAACCTTTAGAAACCTTTTACAATTAAACTAATTGCCTGAGGCCTTGAAAGGGGATATAGTGACATTTAGGAAGCCCAAGCAAGCATCGGCGCATGCTTTAAGTACATATCTAAAATGTGACGACGTATTTAATCAGAGATTTGGAAAGCGTTCCACACACACACACATTTCACTCTTGGGTCCGGACAATTTGCCGTTAGTTCCTGCCAACATCATTGGGCGACTGCCAGAATCGTGATGCTGGTTGCTGCTCCCGGCAAAAACGTTGTGTTCACGTGAGGACTTTTAACTTTAATGCGTTTTAAAATTAATTTGTTGAATTTTATTAAATGCGTTTATTTTTACGCTGTACATTTTTATTTGTAAATTTTTCAATTTATTTACTTTAACATTTATTTATATTGTGTTTTAAATAGATTTATAACATAACATTATTAAATGTATATTTTTGTTTTATACGTTTTCATTTTATACGTTTTTTATTCATTTATGTAATTTTAAACATTTATTATACATTTTATACATTATTAAATGTATTCACGCGACGACGTTGTAAAATGTATTTATTTAATGTTTTTAAATCTACGTATTTTTATTTAATAGATTTTTATTTTGTACGTTTTTGTATGTTTTTAAATTTATTCAAATTTATTTCATATGTTTTTAATGGCTTTTTATATTTTTTGTAAATGTATTCATTTTTATTTCATACACTTTTAAATGTTTTCACGCGACGACGTTCTTATTCGGCTGTGTCGGGTGGTAGAGGGCTTTCAGGCGCGGCGTTGGAATTTCCACTCACGCGGCCTGACCCACAAGCCAATTAGCAGTGATGATCAGTGACA